ACAGAAGGTAAGGTAGAAAAGAATAAGAGAACGTGGACCTGTCACTCCTTAAATAAACTGCTATTATTAAGTATGATTTCTTAAAGCCTCCCGTGAAAATATAGAATTGCTATTTTCAGATATAAATTGAAAGAAAATATTTATTGAAAAATCTTTATGTGATATTTTTCAACTACAACCCTTGTCCCCTATACTTGTTAGTTTGATTTATTATTATTATTATTATTCTTAATTCTCACTTCACATAAATATACTATCAGGGTTCATTTATTCATGCAGTTTTAAGGTTATCCCAAGGGAAGCAAGTGATATTCAGCACTATTATCAAAATCACTTTGCCTATTCAATACATACCAATATGTATGTGTATCTCAAAGTTATATATGTGTGTTTATGTATGTGTATATAAACATATATACATAGTACTATATTAAATTTTGCTTAAGAAAAGTATATTTTGCTTGTTTGCTCTTTAAGAAGATAATGTGGAATAAAATTTGCTTCCCTTCACCTCAAAATATTTTAATGTGTATTGAAAAAATATTCTAAGAAATGACATGCCAAATTACTTTAGTACCAAAATGAACATAGAGACCAAATTCAAAGAAACACTTATATGTATATATGTCACATATTTAAGTTTTATAAACACACAGATATACACATATCAAAGTCACCTCCTATTAAGACTAGTCATCATCACCTAATTATTAAAGAGAATTATTAAAGAAAAAAATCCATATACTTTTCAAAAGTGCTCACTGGGTTTATTCCAAATCTTTTGTAGATGTTATATTTACTAATATAAGTGGGTTATTTCTGTCACCTAGAGGTTAAGGGGTAAAGCCAGGCTTATATAACACATCAATTAATTTCAATGCTCAAACTTTCACGTTTAAGTTTTTCACACTAAAATAAAATATCCAAATTTAAGACTCTCTTTGACCAAAATCCCAAAGACTCTTGCTGTCCTTTTTATCAACATATTACTCCATAAAGTAAATTTCAGTATAAATCATCCATAAAATTTCTATTGGCATGTCTCACATTCTATAGCAAATAAACCACAAAATAATACAACTATCTAGTCTGGTTATAGGATCATAGGATCAATCATTGATTTAGAGTTGGAAGAGGGACTTAGAGGTGAAGTCCAGCCTCCTCATTTCATAGATGAGGAAACTGAGGACCAGAGGTTCAGTGATTTGCCTAGGGTCTCAAAGCTGTAATTTGGCAGCTAGATGGCGCAGTGGATAGAGTGCAGGGCTTGGAGTCAGGAAAACATATTCATCTTGGTGACTTCAAATCTGGTCTCACTAGCTATGTGACAGCACAACAACAAATTTAAATTATATTATCCATTATAAGTATGTAACTGAATAATCCAAGAATATTGTGCGAAGAAATTTCAACGAAGTCTATTAATTTTTATAAGCAAGTCTTACTATTTCCATCCTAAAGGTGCCCAATCTTAATGTATTTAGATATCTCAACGACGGAAAGAAGCTTCGTCAGGGAAGTTTTGCTAGGAAAAAAAAAAATTTTTCCCCAACTCCTATAAAATATATGGATGCTCTTTGTTTTCAAATGAAGGAATAGTAGACTACAAAGGAACGATTAAAATATACTTTTATATTAGACTATGTACATACACTATAGTTCTCTCAATATCTTAATAACGACAATATAAAAAGAACCAAAACCAAACAAAAGCAATCTTTCAACATACGTAATCTTACAACATGACTGAATTTCACAGAATAAATTAATCCCAAAAGGCAAAGAAGCAACCAATAACAAGAGAAGACATTGTAAAGGTGTCAAGAAAAATAGGAAGCAAGGAAGGAGAGAGGGAAGGAAGATGGGAATGAAGGAAGAGAGAAAGGAAGTAAGGTAGGAAGGAGAGAAGAAAAATCATTTTTAATTTTACTCATTACCTATTAGTAAAGTTTCCATCAAGAATAACATTAAATAGTGATTTAAAGAAGAATCTTCACCTTTTCACCAACACATTTTCCCTTACAAAACCTCAAACTGAATTTTCTGACATCTATGCAGCACTATGTTAAAAGGCAAGACAGACACAGATTTTCATCATTCAAGTTTTCACTATTCTCTCTCTTCCCTCTCATAAAGTTAAGAATCCAGTACAGTCAACAGAAGTGCTAACCAAGCCAACAGACTCGCCTTCTTCCCTCATTAGAATCCTAAACTGCACACTGACTCCAAAGTTGATCTTTCCCTTACGCGTTTCCTCCTATTAATTCAGCCTTTTAAAAGCAGTCAATATTTTATAATTAGAATCTTAAGAATGCTGCAAAACAAAAACAAATGAAATAAAAAGTTAACCTGAAACAATCTAGTTCTCTTTCACCTCTTTACAATACTTTCAACATCAAAAGCAAAAAAAAAACCCTCTAAAAAGCCAGTCATAAGTCAATGTCTTCACATCAATGGAATGATTATGCTATATGTGGACTTTCCACATTTAAAAATAGATTAATTTGGAACCTTTTAACTCATTTTTCTTATGCTGAACTGGGCAGAATGAACTCAGAGAATTTTGACTGTTTGCCTCTCAATATGCCTGACTATAAGGCTTAATTAAGCAAGGTGCTTCATCTTTACATTACAGCATTAATGCTAAGTACTTACTGTTGATCACTCAATGCTTTAGACACAAATTTTAAAGAATTTCTAGAAGTGTAGCATATAGCTAAAATGTTTATTACCCAGAAAAAAGCAACGTTAAAATTGAACAAGTAGGGTTTTTTTTTCTTTACGTCTTTTCACATTTGCAATGAAAATATTAGGGAGAAGTATATTAACATATATTAATATATATTAACACATAAAGAGAGTTAATATTCACAATATCTAGTGGTTATCTCAAAAATAACTTTAAATTGTTCTCTAAGGGTCTATGGTCAATACTAATGTTTAGCTAGAACCCAATAATATAAATGCACAGTAGAAAAGCAACCATTTTCAGTCATATCAATGTTGCTCATTTGAAAACAATAGATTGATTCAATCTGAATCAAAGAAACATTGAAACTGAAAAGAAACATTGTTTCAATTTATTTGAGTGAATTTCTCTTCTGGGTAATTCTAGTTCCCCAATTCCAACTAATGCCATAATGTATAAAATTTCCAAAGAAAAGTTACCAAAGGAAGTTGCCCAACCTACCATCAGTTTAATTTGAAACACTGAAGACCAGTAACAAAAATAATCACATCAAGTATATTCATAGAAGATTGAAAGCTAACAGGGTCCTTAGAAAGGACCTAGTCCAAATTCCTCCTTTTACGTTGGAGTAAACTGACTGAAGGAATGCCCTGGGTCACTGAAAGAACAAGACAGTAATACTCCCTTTTCTCAGCTCTCAGGGTTGTGATAACAATCCATTAAGAATGTATATTGTTAGAGAGTTACAAAATGTTATGATTTTGGGAGGAGTTATTCTCAGTCATTTAAGGAGAAGTGTGTCCACTTAAAACCATTTTTTTTTTGTATACTTCTGCTGTGTTCACATTGAATGCAAAAGGATGTATCTTATTTCATGTATTTAATATTTGGGCAAGGAAAATGAAAGCAAAATGATAGGGCTTATCATTATGAGCACAAAATGCTCTGATAATCCTCAAGTGTTTCATAAAACACAGCATTTTCCATGACATGGTTACATATTTTATAAAGCAATCTAACAGTGTTTTGCTGTTCAACTTGGAAATTAATGGAGGAGCTATTATTCAAAGAGTCAAACATATACAATCACAGATTTTGCTGCCCCAAAGTTCTAGATGTAAATAAGGATGGTAAAAGATGTCTTTAAATGCAAAACACAAATGCTTACTCCGTAATACAACAGCATAATGTCCCTTATCAAACACACTTCATGAAAGACAATGATTATAAATGGTTTGCTTCCAAATAAGAAATAAATATTACTTAATCAAAATATAATTGGAAAGTCTTAAATAACACACAGAAATGTTAGGTTTTGTTTACGTAACTAAACTATGGTCAAATCTTTACAAAATTCTCTATCTAGCTGTTTTAACTAACAAAAATGTTCCCACTATAGAAATGTGGAAAGATCTAACCAGTTTAAAATATGGTCGAAACAAAACAGTGAACCAGATATAAAATCTTCAACAAGAAGTAAACGAGAATGCTAAACAATATTAATACTTAAGGAGAAAAATGATACGATATCATATGCAAAGAAAACTGAGTCAACCTTATTCTTAACATCTTCTCCTACTGTCAAAAGACTATGACCCACAATCTTTCTCCACCAAACCTGAATGTGTTAAAAATCAAAGCCTTTTGTTTCTTTGTTTTGGGTTGAAGACCTGATTGCTTTCAGGGGAGTTTCCTATCAAAATATGGAAAACAGGGTTGCATATTAAATCCAAGATCAAGAAAGCTTTTAATGACCTGACAATGGAGGCAGAGTAAACCAAGCAAGTGACATTCTGAGAACACAAGCTTCACAAAATCTGTGTTCAAGTGTAAATTTCAGGATTTTCAGTAATAATGAAAAGTCCCCTAAGAGACTGGTAAGCCTACTATACACTTCTGAAATTCAATAAATGTCAAAAACAAAAACACAAGTTTTGCAACAAGTACTCTGGATAACTAGCAGGACTCACTGTTGATCGTTCTAATTTTTAAATCTTCAGTCTTTTCATGGTGCTAGCATAAAATAACATGTTATTCAAAAGTATGCAACTATTGAAGCTTGATATTTTCATTAGCATGTTATATAAAAGTACGATTACATTGTTATGGAACTATATATCCTGCAACAGTCAGCTAATTCAGCGAGCAATATAATGAAGACACTTTGATTTGAGCAGAAGTGATGATCCTCTGCCCTTATGTCACACTTGAGGGAACATGGGAGCTTTTCAAAGACAATGAACACGAAAAAAAACACAGCAAATGGTCTTAGACCTGCCCTTTTAAAAGAAAATATTTGTATGTCTCTTACCTTGAATATCCATTAGAAAAAACAGATCTATTAGTGAAATTTAGAGTTCCCAAGGAAGTCAAGTTGTCATCTCCAGATCCCTGGCACCTATTCCAATTTTCTGAACCAACAGGAATGGGTGGAATGACATTAAATACAGGCTTGTGATCCTGCTGCTGAGAAACAGACGAAGTATTCAAGTCGTAGTGGTACATCTGTCCCCCAGAGGTACTCACACCATGAACAGAAATGGCAGACATCTTGTTACCAATTATATTTGCCCCAGAAAAACTTCCTTGACAGTAAACTGGGCCCAGTTTCTCCTGTTTAATTACCCCAGGAGTACAAAGTTCAATAAAATCTTCCTTTTCTGTTTTCACTTGAGGCAATGGCATATTAGAACTGGGCAAAATCAGTCCCCCCTGCTCAGTAATTTTAGGCTTAGTGTCCGGCAAAATAAGAGGCTTGCAGTCTTCATCTGCATTTCCTTCTAAAAGAAATGACTCATCTGTTGCCAAAGGAGAAAGCAAACAGTTTTCATCTAGCAAGGGGTCTAATCTCCAAGGGCTCTCATTTGCCTCCTTACTTGGGGACCCAGAGGGCAATTCCAAATCCTGTAAAATATCAAAAGTACTTTGGTCTTCAGTATACAATTTTGTACTGCCATCATTAGTGCCAGGCAAGGCCTTTTTTAGAGTTGGCTTTTCTAAAGTTTTATCGAAATTAGATGTTGTTGGAAATTCATTGTCTGCAGCAGAAGATGCTGAACTCTTGGGGCTTTTGGACACCCTGGATGACTTACTGAGGCTTGCGATGCTCTCTTCAAGAAGCCTAAAATCTGTTTCACCAGAAGAAACACCAATTTGGCCCTGTTGAGGAAATACCAGATCATTTCCCATCACTTTTGAATCTGTATCACCCATGTAGAGTCCCATTGATAGCGAGACCGCCTTGGAGAGGTCTGGCTGCTGTGCACTGCTTGCTGATACTTTAGAATAGTCACCCAAAAGAGGTTGCTGCTTAGAGTCAGACTGAGAAGCAGCAGCCACTGAGGATGAAGATGCAGGAATCTTCACAGGAGCTCCACCCCTTATGGCTTTATAATAGTCCATTACATTTCCTCTGCTTCGACCATGTATACTTTTGGTGGTTTCTTCTCCACGAGAGGTACTTAAAGATTCTTTTGAGTCCATCGGTTAATACCAGCTAGAAAAAGAACATATACACCATAACTAAATAAGCCACAAATACATTCACATCAGCATTTCAGTGATAGGATTAGGTTCATAATATGACAGAAGCTCAACCTGCATGGGTTCTACTAATCTTACTACTCCCCCATCACCAGAAGGGTAGTTTCTCTCTTTCCAGAGTTATAACGCCCTTTCCTCTGCTTCATTAAATGTAGCATTCTATACTCCTAAGACGACTTGCAAACCTAACAGCAAAATTAGGAGACGATGCTTTGCTATTCATTTGGCCACTGGTGTAAAAATATAATGCATAATGATGCACGTGATTGATAAAGTTTAAAATGATTGTTTTAGAAGTTTATTGGATTATATGTCATTGTATTATGAAAGGTGGGGAAATAACTAAAACCTACCACTTTTTAATCAAGAGTGCAACAACAAATAAATTGTACCAGAATCCTGCCAGTTACTCCCTAAATTTCCCAACTCCAGCTCACCATTCATCTATACCTACTACCTATTATACTACTACTTACAGGTAAACCCTCTACTCCATTTGAATAAACCAACACTGCCAGTTTGCTAGTATCCTAGATAAGGGAAGATGTTCCCATTTTAAACTCCATCATTCTGGCTGGGTGGTAAAGTGAACTAATTCAGGACTCAGTCTTCGATATTCACAATGAAAAACAAGCCTGGCTTAACATAAGCTAATGACAGTTTAAATTTCAAGGGACAAACTAGAATATTACTGTCTCTAACAAAAATTTGGACTTATTTGAAATGTAAATATGAAGTTATCATTGATTCATATTGATAGTATAGGATACTGTCAACATATGCTACATTATATACACCTATATATACAGTTGTCCGTAACCATTAGTATACCCTATTCTTAGCTCACTGCATTTTTTTCCCCTTTGAAACACAGAGTACTGAAAAGAGAAATAAAATCATTAAAGAAAAACATAACATTCAGACAATCTGATTGGGACTGAAGAGCCATTAAAAAAAATCCACAATAAATAATACTCACTGGATTCTAAACCTTCACCCATCCCATTAAAAAAAAATCCCATTTGGTTGTCTATGAAGATTTTAATAGAAAACCGTGCCTTCAGTAAGAGGACAAAACTGAGAATACATTTAATAATATAAATGATCTGAAAGGCTCGAAAAGGTTGACATGAGTATTTAGGACGATCTAATCTAGTTCAATAGGAGAAAACTTTCCTTTTGGAAGAAGTTAAAAATCATAAACTTGATTGTTGGCTTCGCAGTAAGGTCGCTGGGGAGTAGGAAGCGGAGAGGGGCTGAAGGGGGGTGGAGTAGGGTGCTACGGATAGCAAATCTTTAGTGCATATGGTTTACCTTTCTTGTCCCTCAGCTACGTTTACTTGATGATAATCTCTAAACATATACAAGGTATCAAATGGAGTCTAATGAATTTCCACGGGCTTTTTTGACAGCTGCCTTCAAACCCGAAACCAAAACAATACCCAGTTCGGCGGAGGGGGGTGGGGGTGGGGGAGAAATGACAAAACGGTCCCTCAAGCAACACTCTTCCTAGTTTAAAGTTGCAAATGTTTCTGCTACATTAACCGGCCATTAGGAACAATGCCCAAATGTCTAAAGTGGCACTACAGAACGTCAATTAGCACATTTACAACCAAAATACAAACATCAAAACCACAGTCCGTCAAAAACCTCTGGCTACACAATAACTAAAGGAACGATCGGTTTTCAAGGGTCGATCCCATCGCTGTTAACCACGGGGAAAAAAAAAAGGGAGGGGGGGAATCATTCATTATCTAACTGGAAAGAAGAAACCCCCACAAAAGCGCGAAGTGTCTAGAAATGTGTCGAGACCTGTTGAGCTCTTTCTCCGACACGCCCACTTCTGCAAGATAACACCAGCCCCTTAGAGAAGTCTACAACTTCCAGGCTGTCAGCCCCTTTCGTCCCCGGAAAAAAAAAAAAAATCCACCCATGCAGAGAACTCAAAATCGAGACGCGTCGTAGCCTCGACGGAAATTTTAATCAATCCTAAGCAACAGTGAACATTTTCGGGAGAGAAAAGAGTTAAAGCCCTATTTCGTTTTTTTCCGCGTTTAGAATAAAAATAGATATCAACCCTCAGGGAAGAAAAAGAAGGGGTGGCAGGGAGAGAGCAAAAAAAGTATTGCGGCTTTCCTAGTACGGTATTAACTCAACCTGGAGGTTTGGTGCCCCCGACTTCCCCACCAGGGAGCTTGGAGCCCTCTCAGAGGGGCATTATTTCAGCCTCCTGGTCCGAAAGTACAAGCTCAGCTTTCTCCCCGTCCACCCTAAGCACCCGGGCATGGCAGGGGGGTGGCGAGGAGGAGGGATGAAGCACTGTCACCCTTTTTCTGTTCTTTCGTCACTGTCAAATCTCCCTACTCAACCCCTCCCCACTCTCCCCCACCCCGTTAATAAAAGTTTGCAAGATTCAAAGCCGCCCCTAGGACTCCGTGCCTTGCCAAGAAAGATTCTCAGGGCTTTGGGGGGAGGGGGGCAGAGGCACCCGTAACCCCCCTCCCCTTTCCTCCATCTGCCTCTTACCTCCTCCAGGGGTCCGGTTCTCCCGCCACCTTCCACAGCTCCCACCGCTGTCGAAATAAACAACTTAGCGTGTGAAAGAAGGAGGAAAAAATGTTTTTCTAAAAAAAGGAAGTAAACAGCCGCCCCCTTTTCCATGGGGGAAAAGGGGGAGAACCCCTATGTAAAAAGTCTCGCCCCTTTCCCGCACCGCCAAGAACTGTCCTCGGCCCCTCTTCGGGTCTTCTGGACTGTTGTTTATTGGTATATTTCTTTTCCCCGGAGCCCTCCCACCCCTCTTCTCCTTCTTACACCCACTTTCAGCCGTTCCCGACAGGCAGGCGGTGACTCGGGCTCTAGTCACAGACAGCTAGCAAAATGGAGGAGGAGGAGGAGGAGGAGGAGGAGGAGGAGGAAGACTAAGAGGAGGAGGAGGAGGAGGAGGGGAGGGAGGACACAGGAAAGGGCTGCCTGGTTGTGGAGAGAGGGAGAACTAGACCGAGCTGGGGGCGGGGGGGGAGGAGGCGGCGCCACATCCACATACACACACGCACATGCACACACGCACACACACACTCACATATTTCGCCGCTCCCAGCAAGTACGAAGCCTCTGGGGCAGCAGCAGGCGGGGAACGATGCAACCTGTTGGTGATTGTGAG